ACTTTTCACCAAAGAAGATATACAAGGAGCCAACAAACACATGAGAAATTGCTCACGATCATTAATCATCAGAGAGATGCAAATCAAAACAACAATGAGATATCATCTCACCCCAGCAATAATAGCAAAGTTCAACAGGTCAGAAAATAACAAATGCTGGTGAGGTTGCATAGAGATTGGAACTCTTTTGCACTGCTGGTGGGATTGTAAAATGGTACAACCATTGTGGCAAATGATATGGTGTTTCCTTAAAAAACTGAACATAGAAGTACCATTTGACCCAGCAATTCCATTACTATGAATATAGCCTAAAGAGGTGATAGATAGCACACAAACAGACATATGTACACCTGTGTTCATCTCAGCACAATTCACTATAGCAAAGAGATGGAAACAACCTAAATGCCCATGAATGAATGAGTGGATAACCAAATTATGGTACATGCACACAATGGAATACTATGCCACATTAAAGAACAATGAAGGATACGGAATCATCTCGCAACATGGATGAACCTGGAGGACATTATTCTAAGTGAAATAAGTCAATTGCAGAAAGACAACTACTGTATAAGCCCATTACTATAAAAAGACAAAGAAAGGTTTGCTTGGGAAAACAAACTCACTTAGTAGGTTACCAGGATGGGGGGTGGTTAATTTTGGGCTAGTTGGGGCCCATACACTGAAGTGGGTAGGGGGAGGGACAAACGGAAAGGATCTGTGACCACCATGATAACATTAGGAAATGGGACACCAAATTGTGCACACAAGAGATAGATGACAGATGTTAATACCAATCAATGTGTCCACAATACTGCATTACCATTAACACCAAACACCAGGCTACAGATAAACACATAAACACCTGAGAGGATAAGACGGGGGTCAGTGAACAGGAGCATACTCTAGACCAAGGATAGATTCCACTGAGGCTAACCTTGCACAGACACCAGTGATACAAAATACCTGCATTTCCTTACAGAAACAATAGAAGACAGACACAGAGTAATCCCTCACAGACAATCAGACACTATGGGAGAGAGATCCAATAGATCTACCATCTCAGGACTGTAGTACTGAGGGGCACCAGACTCAACTGGTACAACAAAATGCATAAAAGTCTTGCTCCACATCCTACATTGGTTGAGTAGTGACTGGGGTCTTAAATGCTTTCAAGCAGCCATCAGAGATGCAGCTAACGGTCTCCCAGTGTTGGAAGTGAAGAAGAATGCAAAGAAAAAAAAAAACGAGGGCATTTGGAAGCAATCAGCCCCAGGACACCATGGCCGTCGAGACCAGAAGAACTAGATGGTGCCCGGCTACCAATGCCAACTACTCAGGAAAGGATCAAATCTGGAGATCCTGGAGAGAATGGGAGGGAAAACGTGGAACAAAATCCAAAAACTCAAAAATGACCAGAATTACTGGTCAGATGAAATCTGGTGAGACTCCCAATACTATGGCCCTGGAATACATTCTGCATCTGGAATAAAACATATCCCCAAGGGCTGGCTCTCAGCCTAATAGTTAAAAAGGTGTACATGCAGACCACTCAACCCAGGATGATGCAACCACATACTGTATGGAAATACATACCTTGGAGTAATAGACCATGGCACACCAGAGGACCAACATTCCAATTGAGGAAATGCAGGACAAACAGGAGTGCATAAATATGAGGGGCCCAGGGGGAGGGTTACAGGGTAGGGAAGGGAGGAGACTGGGTTAGGGTTGGGCATGATAAACAGGGAATGAAACTAAATGTACACATAACATTGAATGTAAAACAAGCTCTTAAAATCAAAATAATAATAATAAATAAATAAATAAACCTATGGATCTCAAGGGTCTGATCCACATCTCATGACAGGGATGGCACGTTTCGTCCCCGTGTGCATGGGGCTGGCATGAATCAGGGCCTGGCTTGACAGCAGTCAATGACAACCACACACAATTAGTGTAGGTGCTGGTCCTTGGCAGGTCCTCTGAAATTGTTAACTTTGTTATTAGCATTTTTATTGTCCCTATTAGAAACAGCAATTTAAATACATTATTTCTTTTCCTCCTCACAATGACCCTGGGGGATTGAACTTTTTTTTTTTAATAGATTTTGGTTTTTTGGAGCAGTTTCCGATTTGCAGAAAAACTGTTTCAGAAAGCACCGAGAGTTCCCACACAGCCACTCTCCCTCCTGCCCAGAGTGTTGCCTGTTAATGCCTTGCATCCCTATGGCATGTTTGTTACAACTGACGAACTGATATTGGTACATTCTTATTAACTAAAGTCCACCATTCCCATATGGCTCACAGTCCTAGGGTTTTAACAAATGCATAACAGCATGCGTCCTCCATGACAGTATCCTACAAAACAAGTTTAACCACCCTAAAAATGCTCTGTGGAACTTTCTAGATCCCTTAAGGCTACATGAACCCCCAAAACTACTGTCTGATACGATCTTTAAACCTGAAACCAAAGATACCCTTGGAGTCTTCTTCAAATGAAACACTAGTTTAGCTGACCTCATAAAAAGTGTCTGCCTTGAGCATTGTGTTGGGAGCTCTGGTAGCGGAGTGCCTAAGGTATTTGACTGCTAACCAGAGGCTGGTGGTTCAAACCCACCAGCCACTCCTCGGAAGGAAAGTTGGGCAATATACTTCCATAGTGACACTGCCTTGGAAACCCAAGGAAGGGTTGCTATTAATCAGGGCCACATAACAACAACAACAACAGAAAGGAACAAACTGACAACAGTGACCGGATAGATTAGATGTATAGGGGGCAGAGAGTTTATGTCAACAGGGGGAGAACAAGTCAGAAAAGGAAGGTGCGATTGGTTGCACAACTTTTAAGACCTCTGAGTTGTACATGTAGACACTTGAATGGGTGCATGTTTTGCTGTGTATTTACTCAACAACAACAAAAATAAACAGTTTAAAAAGAAAGAACGGAAGAGAGGAAGGAAGGAAGAAGAAGGAAGGAAGAAAGAAAGGAACAGAGAAAAAAATGTTCCGTGGATAGTTAGTCTGCAGATGAGGAAAGTGAAATGGGAGAGGTGGACCAGTTTTCAGGAGTCACACAGCCATTGGGTGGTCGTGGTCAAACTGAAACCAAGCCCTGTCCAACTCAAAACAAACCGTGCTGCTAAACCGTCCCAGGCTTGAGCTTGTTTGTTTACCTGCAAGAAGGAGACTTGGCTGCAGTTACCTGTTGATGAGCAAGACCACAGCGGCAAAGAGCTCCTGGTACAGGCCCGAAGCCATGCCCTCCACACACTCCACGCCCGTCATCTTCAGCCCTGAAGTTAGAAAGGAGCACAGGACCACATCCTGTAGTCAGGACCTTGCCTGGGGCCAAGAACACCACTAGGGAGACAGCAGAGGGTCACACAGCCTTAAAAACCACCCCCGATCCCCCCACACACATCCTCCTCCCCATCTGCTGAAATCTTATGCTCACATTCTTAGGAGAAAGTTCAAATACCTCCCCAGGACTTACAGGTCCTGTGTCAACTGGCCCTATCTCCGTCTCCATCATGTTCTCTGCTCACTCCTGTCTTTTCTGTCAATGCCTGCTCATCCTCCGGGGCTCAGCCCAAATATCACCTCCTCAGAGAAGCCTTCCCTGACTACTCCTCTCAATTAGACGAATTCCCAGCTCTACTCTCCCTTATAAGGAGCTCTAGTGGTACAGTGCATAAGGCATTTGGTTGCTAACCAGAAGGTTGATGTTTCAAACCCACCAGCTTCTCCACAGGAGGAAGATGAGGCAATCTGCTTCCATAAAGATTTACAGCCTTGGAAACCCAATGAGGGTCACTATGAGTCAGAATTAACTCAATGGCAGTAGGTTGGGTTTAGTTTTACTTTCTCTCATACTGATTGCTGCAACCTATCTTTACTCCATATAGTCCTTTAGTTAATCTGTGCCTTCCCTCACAAGGCAAAGAGTGCTGTAGGGATGGAACTGTCTTGAGTTTTGTTGGCCATCAAATCCCCCAGTGCCTAGTGCACAGTAGGTACTCAGTAAGGTTTGCCCTTCCCTCTTTCTGGAGGGGAATTTGGCAATATTATATCAGAAGCCATAAAATGTTCATATGCTTGACTTCATCATTTCACTGCTAGGCTTTTATTATAGTGAACCACTCAGCGAAGGAAAGATGTCTAGGCATATGTGTGCTTCCAATTGTTTAAATTGACAGCAATTGCTTTTTGGCAACAATTTGAATGTCCAACAATAGCACATTGGTTAGATAATTTATAATCCATCCATACAAAGATTTGTTTACATTCAGGTTTAGAAGAATATTTGATGAAATGGAAAAGGTCAACCTATAATGTTTGGAGGAATAAAAAGTTTACAGAAATAGAATTAGAGTTGTGGCCTCACTTTTTCTAAACATGCACACACACATGCACACACACACACCATTAAAACAGGTTGTTGTTGTTGTTGTTGTTATGTGCCGTCGAGTCGGCCCCGACTCATAGCGACCCCTCCTTGGGTTTCCGAGGCAGTATCACTACGGAAGTAGGATTGCCCAACCTTCCTTCCGAGGAGTGGCTGGTGGGTTTGAACCGCCAGCCTTCTGGTTAGCAGTCAAGTGCTTTAGCCACTATGCTACCAGAGCTCCTATTAAAACAGGTAGCCTCGATTAAGTTGCATTGAACAATTTGAGGCAAGTTGTGCATCCTGACCCTTCCATTCATTCTACTGCTATCCTCAGAGCTGGAAACATAGCTTCCAAATCTGCACTCACTTAGTGCCCCAAGAAACAGTTCTGTTTGCACACCCCAGGCAGCCTGCTGCAGCCCTGAAATCATTCCCCATCCCTCCTTTAACTCCAACCCCAGTCTGGGCTGTTGCTAGGCAACCAACATCCTCCCAGCATCTCTGCTGAACCTGCTGGTACCCTGTCTGTTTAATGTCTACCCTCGAGACCTTGGCCCGAGAGGCTAAATCAGACTCACAAAGCCATGTGTGTGTGTGCATGGGTTGTGGGTGTCAGAGAGGAAGGGTAACGTTTAAACTGACCAGAGTACAGACTTGGAAGGAAATGAAAAGGCCAGTGGAGTCCAATGGCCATCAGCCACCAAGGAGAAGTCTCTGGAAGAAGGGGCAGCTCTGAGGATCCAAAAGGCTCCTGAGAGATGCCCAAAACCACAGCTCAGAATAGTCCTCCTCACTAATCTCAAACTCTACTGTGTCAAGGAGAGCCAGGCTCAGGGGATCTTCAGAGACCCTTGGGGCTCCAAGAGGTCCTTTTGCACCTCATCTTCTGCAGCCAGGCCACCTGGCAGCAGAAGGCTGCAGACTTGAAAATTAGCAGATCCCACCTCATACCTTGCAGGGGCTATGCCAAGTTCTCCTGCTTTTCTCCTCACGCCAGTTAAAAGCACCCTCACCTGCTCAGGATGAAATCTTAGAAGCCTCTCATTCCCTTACACCCCAGGGCCAATATGATCATCTCTTCTTGTACACTAGCAACTAAACGTGCCCACCTCTTCCCATCTTTGCCTCCACTTCCCTAATCTAAGTCACTGGCATCACACTGGATGACTTCCACAGACTCCCAACTGGTCTCTCTTATCCCATTCACTACTAAACCTACATCCAGGCTGAGCTTCATAAAGAATAAGTGAAAGTACATTATTTCCCTACTTAAGCTCCCCTTCATACCTCCTTATCAGTCGAAGAATAAAAACTCTCACTTACAGACTCTTCCATGATCTGATCCCGTCTTACTCTCCAACCTCATCTCGTATGACCGCCCCCTGCCTCAGCTCCAGCCATACCAGTTAGGCTTCACTCTACATCACAGGGGCTCAAAAAACAGTAAAGGCAATGGAAATGCTTCAGTTCCTTGGCACTGTCCACGCTGTGTCCTCTCTCCATTGCAGGGACCCCTCCCAGTTTCAGAACCCTGAATAGAGCTATCTATTTAGATATAAATATCATGCATGTGGGAGCCCTGGTGGCATAGTGCCTAGAGCATTTGACTGCGAACCAGAAGGCTGGCAGTTTAAACCACCAGCCACTCCTCAGAAGGAAGATTGGGCAATCTACTTCTGTAGAGACACTGCCTCGGAAACCCAAGGAGAGATTGCTATGAGTCGGATCTGACTTGACAGCAGTGTCTGGTTTTTGGTTTGGTTATCATGCATGTAGGAGCCATGTCCACTTCTGCTCAGCGTGGACATGGCCTGAACATAGCAGGCCCTCAATAAATCCTCAAATGGGTGAATGAATGCTGGTGTGTCCCCAGAGGCTGGCTCAGAGGGGCTCCAGCCCACCAGAAAGGCAGTAGGTGCAGTACCTGAACCTGTCTCCTCGTCCTCAAGGCTCCGTCGGTTTGGCCCAGACATCACTTGCTTGATGATCTGCTGCAGGTGATGCTTGAAGGTGGCTCTGTTCAGCTCCTCATACTCACAGCCCAGCACCTCAGCTGCACGGTTTGCCCACTCAAATCGCATGAACTGCTTTCGGCCCACTGCACAAGGGACAGAGCAGAGGTGTGGCGCTGAGGGCCTGGCCAGGGAGTAGGTGAGTGCCCATGGGGACCTTGAAAAATTGCACCACCCTTTCAAGTTCCAGGTGACTCACCCTCAGTGAGGAACCTGAACAACAGGTCAGGTCTGATGTTGGTGGGGGACATCCCCCTGGGCAGGAGTCAGGTTCCCCAAGAGACCTGCTTATCCTACCCTACACCATCTGCACTTCTCACTTTTTCAAAGCAATTACAATGGTCATGGGAACACTGCAAATGTGGAATTGGGGAAGGGTTAGTAAAAGTATCATTACCCACCCACATATCCAGTTAGCTAGACACCCAGCCATCCACTACCCTTTGCCATTCAACCACTCACCCAGCCACCCGGCCATTTATTCAACACATAGGTACTGAGCTCCCATGATGTGCTAGGACCCACTGCAAGCTACTGGGGAATGAGTGATGAACAAGGCAGGCATGGTGTCTGCCCTCATGAAGCTGACAGTCTATTAAGGAAGTGAAGCAATAAACAAATATATAAATAGGCTAATTTATGATGGTAAAGCTAATACATTTTTCATTATATGTAGAAAAATAAAACACTATGGTGAAATAAATGGAGATGGAGGGGGCCGCTACGTATCTATGATGCTCAGAGAGGGCTCTGCCTGAAGACGTGATATTTGAAATGGGATGTGACAAGAGAGAAGAGCCTGGGGACATAAAGAACTAGGGAAAAGCTTTAGAGGTGGTGCAAAGGCCCTGAGGCAGAAACATGCAGAGTGTGTTACAGAAATGCCAAGAAGTCAGTGTGACCAGAATGTAAGGGGTTGGGAGGTGGGTACTAGACAAGGTTGAAGAAGCAACAGAGAGTCACTCAATGAACTGTTATAAACCAAAAACCAAACTACCCATTGCCACCACTGTTGAGTCGATCCTAACTCCTAGCAACCCTAGAGGACAGAGTAGAATTGTTCCATATGGTTTTCAAGGCTGTAATCCTCACAAAAGCAGAGTGCCACATGTTTCTCCCACAGAACAGCTGGTGGGTTCAAACCTCTGACTTTTCAGTTAGCAGTTGAGCGCCTGACCACTGCTCCACGAGGGCTCCTTAAAACCAAACCGGTTGCTGCCAAATCGATCTGAGTCATGGCAACCCAATGGATGTCAGAGTAGAACTGTGCTCCTCCGGGTTTCCAGTGGCTGGCGTAGTGCCTAAGGCATCTGACTGCTAACTAAAGTTGGTGGTTCAAACCCACCAGCCACTCTTCAGAAGGAAGACTGGGCAATCTACTGCCATAAAGATTTAGCACCTCAGAAACCCAAAGGGGGTCACTATGAGTCAGAATCGACTCAATGTCAGTGAGTTTATGATCTTTTGGAAGCAGATTGCAAGGGCTTTTTTTTTTTTTCTTTTTTTTCTTTTTTTCCTGAGGAACCTCTGGGTAGATTTGAACAGCCAACCTTTCGGTTAGTAGCCAAGCATTTAACCACTCACACCATCCAGTGACTCTGGACTAGTATAAGACTATTAAAATGAGCAACAAAGGCTTTATACAATGGGCAGTGTTTACAGTTTAAGGTTTAAATGAAACATAGACCAGAAAACAGTACCATAGGATGATGCCAACTGTGTAAACCAAGCAAAACTGCTGAAAAATATAATAAAAAGGAAATGCATTTGAATATTAACAGTCACATCTGGGTAGAAGTATTCTGTATTTTCCAAATTATCCACAGTGTCTACGTATTAATATTGTAATCCAAATAAAAATTAAATGTTTTATTAAAGCAAATAAGAGTCTCATCCCTCAATAACTGTCTGCCATCTTTTATCTTCCCATAAATGTGTTTCTTTCTCTGGATTAAGAATCACAGTTGCCAACAGAGATTTCTCAGTTTATCAGAAAGAGGTCACGAGAGCTTGGTTCTCCAAGCTAATGTCGTAAATAATGAGCTTGCCTTACGAGAAAACTGGAAATTTGGAAATGGACTTTATTTGGGACTCTGACACTGGTTTGAATGGTGTCCCCCTAAATATATGTGGAAGTACTAACCCTTGTACCTGTGAATGTGATCCTTTTGGAAACAGTGTTTTATTTTGTGAAGTTAATTAGTTCATACCCAAGTAGGGTGGGTCCTACACCTAATCTCTTTTGAGTGGTATCTTATAAAGGGGAGTACAGACAGAGAGAAACAGACACACACACACGGGAAGACATCATATAGGAGGATTTGTCTACAAGCCAAGGAACACCAAGAAACACCTGGGGCCGCAGAGACCAGGACAGACCTCTTGTGAGCTGACACAGAGAGAGCAGAGTCCTGCTGACACGGATTCGGATTTCTAACCTCCAGACAATAAATTCTGCTTGTAGAGGCACCCACTTGTGCTGCTTTTGTTATGGCAGTACAACAAGTCCAACGGTACCCAAGGACAGAAGAGCTGGAGCCCCAGGGTATCACAAATGTCCTTGTTGTTGTTAGGTGCCATTGAATCGGTTCTGACTCACAGCGACCCTACGCACAACAGAATGAAACACAGCCCAGTCCTGCACCATCTTCACAATCACTGATATGTTTGAGCCTGTGGTTGCAGCCGTTAGATCACTATTTCACAAATGGCTACTGCTTATTGGGGCTCTACTACTGCCAGTTACTCGGCACTCATCATTACAACAGCACCATTAAGTGTTATGCCCATTTTCCAGATGCCATTGAGACTTAGGGTGGGACATGGCCAATTAAAAAAAAAAAAAAAAGTCCTTCCACTTTAAAAATGATGAAGATGATGGTGGTGATGAAGATGGCAATGATGTTGGTGATGGTGCTGATGTTAATAATGATGGTTGTGATGGTGATGATGATGGAGATGATGATGGTGATGACAGCAATGATGCTGATGGTGGTGGTGGTGGTGATGGTGAGGATGGTGACGATGTTGGGAATGGTGCTGATGTTGGGGATGGTGCTGATGTTAATCATGATGGTTGTGATGGTGATGATGATGACGGTGGGTGATGGTGGAGATGATGGTGACAATGGTGGTGGTGATGTGGTTATTCTGCTGCTGCTGGTGGTGGTGGTGGTGATGGCAGTACCACTTACTGACCTCATTTTACTCAACATCAGCATCTGTTCAGCTCGTGGCTTTTGGAGTCAGAAAGCCTGTGGTCAGGTTCCAGGTTTGATATACGGTAAAAGCTTAGTACGAGTTGGTTGCAATTATTACTTATTTATTACTGTTTTGTATTATTATTATTCTAATCCTCACCAGAATCCTAGAAAGCAATATATCATTCCCATTTCATAGATGAAAAAAGAGACTCAGGAAAGTCACCAAAAATCAGACTGCCACTAAATGGAAGAAACCTTTTCTCCAAATCAGTCCTTTAAACACTACCTTTAGGGAAATGTCTAAATCCTTAGATAAGAATTTCTTCTCAATAGACTCACTTGTCTTTTCCACTTAATAAACTAAACCAAACTCACTGCCATCGAGTTGATCCCAACTCATAACAACCCGTCCTTGGGTTTCCGAGGCAGTATCTCTACGGAAGTAAATTGCCCAACTTCCCTTCTGAGGAGTGGCTGGTGGGTTTGAACCTCCGGCCTTCTGGTTAGCAGTCACGTGCCTTAGGCACTATGCCACCAGAGCGCCTTCTCACTCAATAAATACACATAAAAAGAAATAGATAGCACTTTCATAAATGAAAGGAGCCCTGGTGGTGCAATGGTTAAGCCTTCAGCTGCTAACCCAAAGGTTGGTGGTTTGAACCCACTAGTGGCTCTGTGGGAGCTCTGGTGACATAGTGCCTAAGGCACTTGATTGCTAACCAGAAGTCTGGTGGTTCAAACCCACCAGCCACTCCTTGGAAGGAAGGCTGGGCAATCTACTTCCATTGTGATACTGCTTCAGAAACCCAAGGAGGGGTCGCTATTAGTTGGGTCCAACTTGATGGCAGTGAGTTTGGTTTTTGGTTTTAATGGCTCTGTGGGAGAAAAGTGAGTCTGTTTCTATAAAGATTACAACCTTCAAAACCCTATCAGACAGTTCTACTCTGTGCTGTTGGGTCAGTTTGAGTCTGAATCGACTCCACAACAATAGACTGTTATCATAAATGACAAAATATAAATATCATCTTTCACAAACAGGAAGTAAAAATAAATACAACATGAGCACAAAACCGTCATTAGATTCTAATTACAGGTATGTGTCGCTTAATGTCCGTTTGGGCAATGGCCTACTCCATGACTGAATATACAGTCCATGGCCCCTTAAGTTGCTCTGCTTTTTAAAAAAGGGAAAGCAGCACTCCTTTTTCTTTTTTTTTTTTAATTTTTCTCTAATGGTTTTAAACACTCCAAACCCAGAGTGAATAGCCAGCTGGACTCCAGGGTACGTCCCAACCCCTGCATCAACTCTTCCTTTGCCTCCTCGGTCCTCTCTTCCTGGCTCCCTTCATCCGCCCAGCTGCACACAGCCCTTCACTCCCAGCACAGGGCAGCTCGTGCTGCAGGTTCCTCCGCGCCGCTGCAGGCGCAGGCGCAGGCGCAGGCGCAGGCACCGCCGGAGCCTGCTGGGCTGGAGCAGTGGAGGTGGCTGCACGCCACGAGGCAGCAGCCACCCACACACGTGGTCCCGGTCCCCGCGGCCACTCCTCTGTGCCGCTGCCCCCTGACCCCGCAGCGCCAGACAAGTGCAAAGTCCCTATCTAGCTCCCAGCACAGCCCCTGCCCTGCCCAGCCGCACATCGGCAAGGCTGGCCTGTTGGGCCCGGTGCAGACAGCTCTGGGGCTTTGTCCGGCTGACCCCCACAAGGTCTTAACGCAATAGTCTTTGGGAGGACTTAACTATGACTTGTCCGCATGCTGCCTGTATGTAATATGGAGCTCACACGTCGGCCAAATCACGAAACGTTCTATTTTAGAGACTGTACCCTGGTCATTAAGCAATGCCTACCTGTAGATACCATTACCTGTGAGCCTGGGGCCTGCTC